CATGCTCGTTTGTCTGCCAAATTCCTCCAACCTCCAGCCTTCACTTCCTCTTCCGTCCAGAATACACTATTCCTCCTAAGTGACGCCCACTTCCTCTCTTCGCACCTGAAGGTCTTGGCGGTAAAGATTTTCCCTATAATCTTAAGTCACTGTGATAGAATCATCACACTAGGATGCTGAGAGTTAGAGGAACTAGGTAGTCAGGATACGCGCAAGGGAGCGGAGAGGACACAGACTTGCAAGGAGCACGGTCACGGCTGCTGGAACTCCACTTTGAGTGCAATGTGACCTTGCTCGAAGAGCCTCCGCCTTTTCAGATTACACACAAGGTAACATACTGAGGAGGGGATACGAGCCTGCTCTCAGGATGGTGAGTCTGGTGCGGTACTCTGGTCTAGTTAAAACAGACTCAGTGCACATAGCTTTTCTGGAACAAAAGGCTTTGCCAAAATTGGAAAATCCTAGAAAAGCCTCAAGGTGAGAAGGGTCCGTAAGGAGGTAGGAGACAGAGCCGTAATTTGACAACTTACGCGGTGAGCAGCGCTTTCTGTCCTCAAGTCCGAAAAAACTGGCGGTGGGGGAGAGGGAATCCGAGTGCCGACGCTCGGTCTCACGTGCATAATTGCACATACATGAGGCATGTCACTTTCATCGCAGTAGAGTGCAGGAGCGTAGAAATCAATGGAGTAGACCAGGCGCAAGTATAGTATAAGACGATCAAGGGCTCGAATAAGTTCGGGGTCAGCCTCTGGGTCCTTTTCCTTCAACTGGGAGGGAGAGACGGTGTTGGCAGCAGCAGATGTTCGGTAGTTCATACCACCTTGCATAACGGAAGCAGACAATTTGAATAATGAACCCATTTTGTATATATACGTTCTAGTCAAAATGTGTTAGTAGCATTTATATCATCATTTAGGTTTGGCTTGACGGCGTGTGCGACAGATCTATTAATTCAAAAACATGCTCTTCAAAAGACGCAGCAGCAATACGCAGCATTCTAGAATTTCTAATATACCTGTGGTAATTAAATAGCTAATGGGGGAAACAAACTTTTGTTGAGGGGAATCAGAAATTGGTCACCTTACCGAGAAGCAGCAATTCTTCCTCAGTATTTCCCTCATCGACGAGGTGATCGGTCAGATTATCCAAGAGGACGTTAGCACTGTTAGCTGAGATTTCCGAGAGGATAGCCGAGGCGGCAATCAGATTGTCCTCAGGATCCAGATCCTCCGGTCTGGGCAGGACGAGACGGTCGAGGAAAGAGGAGGCGGGACGAGACGGAGAGGAGGGTGCAGAATCCTTCGCCGGATGGGCAGTATTCTCTTCGCTCACATCCATCGCTTCACCTGACTTTTCGGGCTTTTCTTCTGTTTTAATCGGTGCTGCGTGTTGCGGAAAGGTAGACAAAATAAGGAGACGAAAATCAATCTATTTGTTTCTGGTCAGTGGCATATGCAAACATAAGATGATAGCAGCAACAGGACTTCTAGCAGGCACTGTAACCTTCTCAGTACGAAGTTTGTGTGCATCATCAGGTGGAAGGAGAGATGGCCTATGGCAAGGTGTAGGAGACCTTAGTAACTTCGACCCTCCGCTCTCCTAATTCTAGTTGACCACAGTATCCAAGTTAGATGGGGACGACGACGGTGGTCGCGGATGTAGGCACCGATCTGACAGAAACTTCCAGTCTATACGTGATCCAACACGGTTGGTGCTATCGGACTGCTGCGCAAGCACTTTGGTGAAACGAGCTCGTTGTCTAGCCGGTTTAGGTCTGGGAAAATTGACACTCATTGACGAACGTTCCCTTGACCGTTAA